CCTTCACGGGTTGCCACACACGGCAAACACATGGGTGGATGTTTAGATCCCAGAGGAGGTAACTGAAAATACAGAACCATACCTGGGAGGTCCCCTCACCACGTACATGAATCCACATTGAGGGGGTAATCATCTGTCAAGTTTAATGGGACAATACAGTTTTCACTGATTTGCTCCTAAAAATTTGAGATTATCTTGGATGTTTAATTATGTGTTTTCGTATGTGACCAATAGAATGTGTACTTTACGATTAAAAACATATTGATTCTATTTACATGCTAAATCCACACCCCAGCTTAAATGTACTGCTCTATAACATATCTATTGTATTCTTTAATGACTTTACACTGTTGAAGGGTTAATTAAAAAAGCCAACCATTCTCTTTGTAATTTACTCAAATGTGCATATATGTGGATGGTGAATTGACAGGTCTTAGAATGAAAAATTAGCCCCATTTATTCTTTCCATAACTTGTTACTTTAGTCATATTGAACTCCAAGTGTCAGTATCATTCATTATTTTCAATAATCACCAGCAAATAAGTGCAATGCCTAGACCCAAATGTTATAATAAACCAAAGATATAACCTCAGCCACCATAAGACATAATAATTCAGCAATCTTGAACTCTTGGATATACTTTTAACAAGACCTAGTTGATTGGCTTATGCCTAGCATAGTTCCTCAGTGAATCCAGATTATGAGAATTTATTTTCTCTTAATATTTAACACACACATTTCTGACCATCAACTAGAAGTTTCTATTTTTTGTTTCTTCCAATAATATTTTTACCCATACACAAGAGTTAGTTTAAAAACAATAGCAAAAAAGCCCTAAATGATGTAGAATAAACACTAGCAAATTACCTGTTGGACAAAAAAGAAACATGGGCTGAGACAAGTGTTGATATACTTCATTCGTCACAGACACTTGCGCATGACCAAATGACTGAAACAGTTCCTTATCAGCTTCACTTATGTCTGGCTCAATGTCGTCAAACAACAGAGCAAATGCATTGCAACCAAACTGTGCAACCTGTAAGCAAAGAATGGAATAATTTATTAATATTAACAAATTAGTGAGTAGTTAACATAAACACATAAACGTAAAGGCTGGTTAGAAAATAGTAATCATTGCTGAATATACTTTATCAATATAAAATAATTAATCCTTTATCTGCCATGGTCATTTTGATCTTATCGTGAGGGCAAAATCACATTTGTGAATTGAAAAAATTATAGAGAACTTATCTTTTATTGGATTTCAGATTTTATTTTTGTAAGTAGTGGCATAACATTTAATTATTTGTACAAAATTGTATTATTTAATGATGTTTAAAGAGGAATTTAATGAAAAAAAATCCTAAAATATGTTTTAGACTGTAAATAAGCACCCTGTAAGAAGAAAATTTTTTTTTCAAAATTTTTGCAAAATATTTCCTTCCACTTCACCACTGGCCCTGCCATATATTATTGGTATCTAAACCTTTTTCTAGTCTGTTTTCTTTATAAAACAGAGTCTGGGCATGTTAAACTTCAGTTGTAAAACTTTTAGCCAATCCTAGTCGAAGGTTACAATTTCAGTACCATATCATTCCAATCGCTGTATCTCACATTTGACAAATCATAGGATAAGGAAAACACGTGACAAAACGTTGTTCTCTGGATTTTACAATATGAATGTGGGTGGTGCTTATTATAGTAACTGCCATTTTATGTAGAGGTTGTAT